CATCAAGCAATTTCTTCATTACAATCCCTCTGATAGCCACAACACTAATAATTTAATTCAGCTACATTGTCAGTGAGAGCAAAACCTTTGTTTCTGAAACAACACTTCTACATATCTTGATTTTTGCTGTGTTATTTACCTTAAGAAAGACAAGTTGAGAAATTCTTGATTTAGGATTCAAAGAATTTAGGAGTTAGATTTCCTGACTTTTAGATGAATTTGAACTTCCTTTCTGAAGTTTAGAGTCAGATTCTTATGTTCTGGGCAAAGTTTCATTTACTAATGATAAAATGTGAATTTTCTGCTTCAAAGATAAAAAAGACTCATATATTTCAAAAGGCTTGGAAGTCTGGGATAGTTATTATGAAACCAAATTTTAATGAGTTAAGTGTAAATGAATTAGAAACATGCATCTCAGATATCTTAGTAAAATATACATGAGGTTACAGGTTATAAAGAAAAATGCTTGGCAAAGTATATCTCAGCAGTTGCCAACCTCAAAACATTTGAGACATTTTATCAGTTGTCCCAACAACGGAAGGAAGCTGCTTTCTTCCTCCTTTGCTTGCTTTGCTGAGTTCTTTTAAGCTTAAAGTGCTTTTTCTAGGTTAGCTTCTTTTGCATATTTCTTATTTATCACTCCCAGGCAAATACAGAACAAAGTACAAAGTTAATATTTCCCCAGGATTGCAAAGTATGTATAATTCAGCTATTTGATAATATTGTCCAAAAGGAGCTGCATATGCAGGCGTAGTCCATGACAGATTCACACAAAATGTTTTAATCTCAAGTACGTTTCTCTAGGTCTACAGTACTACTGAACACATATGATTATTTACAAGTATCAAGCAATACATGTGGGTGTCCAGGAGTGTTCTGAACAACACCTACGTAACATCAAAAAGCTTTAAATCAAAGCATTCCAGAATTTGTGCTAACAGATATGACTGTGACAAGTTTTTTTCTTTTTTCAAAGAAAGGTAATATAGGGACAGGTTATTTAAAATATTTAAAAACATGAATTTTTTTGTTCATCGTATAGTTCTTTTTAAAACATGTGCAAGAGAAAACCAATTGTATTATTTCTGCTGCCTTGAAGATGGAAATGAAACTGTCATAGAGATGATTAACTTTTGCTTTAGTTTCTGCCATCTTTTTTCATCATCTTTGTTATTATCTGACAAATCACGGTGTGCACGATCCACTGTCTTTAGCATAAAAAAGTAATTGAACATTTCAAGTTACTTGATGCCTCAAGAAAGTGAATAGAGTATTGAAGCACAATTCAAATAGGATATTTAAATGCGTTTTCATAATGTAAACATTGTACTATTGTACTTACTTGAACCTAAGTTATTTTCATAGTTCTATAACAAACCCCACTGAGAGGATAAGAAAATACATCGGCACTAATCTCCTTGTCTTCATTCTAAAGCTTCATGGTTCCCCAACAAGATCTAGATTCTTTTCTCTTTACCCTAAGTTTACATCATCATTTCCTAGATAACTAACTCCAAACAGTTCCTGAGGATCTGCCAGCAGCTATTGCTCAGTGCATCATCTTATTTAATACTTAAACGATGCAGTAAAAATTAGTCAGACATTGTAAGCTACATATTACGAATGTGACCTTTAAACTCTCCTTACATTGATACCTGTTGTGGTATTTGCAACAGTGTGTGACTGTCGGCAATAAAATGAGCGTTTATATATATAAGCATCTTCACTTTCTCATAGTCTAACTATTCAGCAGGTTCAACTAACTATTTGATAAATAAAACAAAAACATTATTGCTATGATTGCCTGGGGTATCTTGCCTGCTTCCTGAAGTCAATATAAAAGCCTAGGTCTTCTTTGTTCTGCTCTCTTGGTAGTTCATTGCCCACAAGATGCCTTAAAGTACAACCAGACCCTCTGTGTTCTCTGTTCATCTGGCCCTGTATTCTCCAACCGCTCACTCCTGCCACTCCCGCCAGCCACGTGGCTGGTGGATTCTGCTGAAATCCCAGGCACCTGCTGTACGTTGAGACTCTTCCTGCTGAGAGACTCCACTTCTTTCCTGCGGTTTCAGCTCAGTGGATAACAGGGTGGACTTGGTGGTTCTCAGGGCCCATGGAATATTCTCTCTCTGATGCCATAGGATTTTCTTCACTTCTTTGTGTAGTCCCCATTGCTTCATAGCATTCTCTCTCCTTTACACAAAACTGTGCACACTTTGAAGTCCAGGATTTTCCTGCCCTCATTCCTGACTCCATTCCTGTCTCGTGGTGCACATGTGTTGACTTGATCGAGGCTCAGTTTTCTCCCCTCATCGTGCTGTCACATACAGTCAGGGTAGCTTTGGCAGACTGTATGAATTGAGAGTTCTGCTTGAGGTTTGACTAAACATTTAACCTGGCAGATCTGGTTCCTCTGGCTAAATGTTGGTTTCCACTCTCAAAGAACATTTTACTTATTCACTTGGTGATGGACAAATAGTGTGGATAAATTTTAAATATTTCTACAAACATTGTTTTTCTACCAATACTGCCCTTGGCCCGCATTCGTTTCCTACAGGTGTTCCCTTGTTCTCTTTGTCCATCAGCTACTCTGGTATTTTGGTTGTTCCTAAACTCACCGATCTCCTTTTATTCCTGTTAGGTTTTACCTATGCTCTACTTAGTAGTATTTCCCATCTTCGTGGGGTGACTCTCTCTCTCTCTTCAGTTATCATGTAATATCAACTTCCATGACTGTACAAACATCTTCATAGATACCTGATTTTTTTCCTTGTGAGTTTTTTTTTTTTTTTTAGGGAGGAGGTCACCATATATAGTTGTTTATTTTCTTTTGTGTGTTTAAGCTAGTTTCACTAACTTCTGTCTCACTGAGGATTCTGCAGCAACATATTACAATATTAGAATGTACGAATAAAGGAAAAATGAGTACTATAATCTCAAAGGTCACATTGTGGGGTGTGTCTATTAAATATAGCTATATAAGAAATTAAAGAACCTCAAACAATAGAGTCCTTGTAAGGAGAACTAATCAACTAGTCAATAAGCCTCTATTCACTAATTTTAAGAAAATTGTTACATGTAGAGCTAAGTATGAGAGGGTAGGCTCGTACAAACCATGGCTTTCCTTTACTGCTTGGATAATGAACAGATTAGTTAATTCAGTCTTCACATTCCTGCAGCTTGAGATGTTAACTCTCCCTCATGTTCGCTGTGACCCAACCAACCTTGCCCTGATTGTCTCCAGAATGCCATTCTCCTTAGCAAAACCATTGCTCCACTTTACTCATCAGAAAAAGATTCATGAGATCAATATATTGGACACTCTCACAGGTTCCTACTCATTCCTATCTTCTTCTTCGGAAACTCATCCAAGATCTCCCAGGGGGAATTTCTTCAACCTGCACCCTTTATTACCAGGCTTTTTGTTGTCTGCCTTTCCTCATTCTTCCAAAACTTTTGCCTTTCTAGAAATCAACTAAGCAAAAACACATTTCTACCATGAATACCCTAACACAGCTTAAAAGATCATCTGACACATGGTTATCTTCAACAATAGAGTTGTTGTATTTATTTCAGAAGTATCAGGGATATTTAAAACATTTTAAAATGTCAACTGGTAGTCATAGAAGAACATCCAGTTGAATTTTCTTTTAAAATTTAGTTTTAGTACTTTAAAGGACTCTTCTAGACAATTTCCCTAATATGCCTCTTGTAAACTACACAGCATCTATTTGCTAGGTATACTGAATTTTTTTTTTAAAAAATCTAAATTGAATAATTGAGAAATAAGAAGGTAGAATTTTACAATTCCCAATTCTTTGCTAAACAAGAAGTTTTTGTATTCTGTATTTGGACTGCATTAACATTTGTGTTGTTTTCATACAGTGGTTAAAACAGCACTGAATACATGGCCTTAAAATTCATCAAGGAATTTTTTACTGCAACCCAGTATGAGTTGCTGATTAATGCGGCTTGTGATGCCTCTAGTGTGACTTTATAAACACAACCCAAGCGAATTAAGCTTCCAAAATTGAAAAATGAGAACTAAATTTTCTACATTTAACGTTTTTGAAAGTTTCTGCAAGATGATGCTCATGTTTCAGTTAAACATCAGCTATACAGCTTTCTCTTTCTCTAGCTATTAGTCCCTTAAGTATAACTTTGTAATCAAAGCGAGGTCAGCTGTATCCAAATAGAAATATGCCAGAATGTCTTTGGCATAAATCTCTCCCTAAAGATTTTAGAGGTTTTACTTCAGAAGAGGGAGAAAAGCACTGTATCTAGAAATCTAAGAAGTTAATTCATTAAAAAAATAAAGCCGAGTTATTCAATTATCATTGCAGAATGCTATACAAGCACAGGATTTCCATATTGTTCATGAAGTTGTTTTTATTTTATTATGCTTAGAAAGAAACTGAAGAACCATAGACAAAATATTGCTATCTAGAATATGGCTTTGATTTATGTATTATTTCTTTGAAAGGCAGAGAGAGTGAAAAAGTAAGAGGAAAAATTTTTCTGTCTGTTAGTTTACTCTCCAAATGCCCACACAGCTGAGCTGTGTGCCAGACCAAACACAGGAACCCCAAACTTGGTTCCTTTGTGGAAGGTTGTCTCCCAGGCTCTGTGTTACTTAGGGATTTCTCTACCAACAACTGGCTTCTAGTGGAATGTCTCTTAATGATATCTGCATTGCACTTGCCCTATTTTAAATCCGGCTCTGATTTAAATCAAGAGGTCTCTCAGCACTACTATGGAAATGAGTTCCAAGCACATTACAACAAAGGCTGGTGCTCATGGGAGCATCCTTCCCTTAGACTGTCCACATACAGCGAACCTGAAAGAGTTGCACTATTGTGAAGATGTTTATTGAGTACCTACTATTTGTGAATAACTGCATTATGAACAAGTTCCCACTGGTGAATGGGCACTGATTTCCAAATGTTTGACTTACTTATCATCATTTATTTTTCTTCTGTCATTACTTACACAATTTTCAGGCTGGTGGTTTGATGCGTGTGGCCCCTCCAACCTTAACGGAATGTTCTACACTGCTGGACAAAACCATGGAAAATTGAATGGGATAAAGTGGCACTACTTCAAAGGGCCCAGTTACTCTTTACGTTCCACAACCATGATGATTCGACCTTTGGACTTTTGAAGGTACAATGGTGGAATCCATTAGGAGAGCAACAAAGCACTCTGGAGCACTACCAGATGAGACGCTGTTTTGGAAACTCCTAAAGCAAATGATCTTGTCTCCTTTATGGCAAATGGCAGTTATGTGACGTCAGCATGGTTCTTGACTGTGGATTTGGAGCCTTTTGAGTTCACTGAAGTCTGTGTGGGGGGTCACCATGTGCGTGTGGTTTGACTCCCGAGGATGCCATCCGCTGTCATGCCTGAAAAGGGAAGAGACTGTTCAGCTCACTGTGCTTCAAACTACTATGGATCCTAACATGGAACAATGGTAACCAGATGGCAAATATGGTTTATTTCATATAAAACAAAAAAGAAAAGAAAAGAGAGAGAGAAAGAAGTGAATGAAAAGAAAGAATATACCTGAAGAATAGGAACAGGCATGACGTAATTCTTTGGTAAAGATGTATTATACAAGTGAAATAGTGTTATAGCTATGCAAACTTACTAACAAGTTCATACTGTTGCACAATTTTGATAAAAAAGAAAAAAAAAAACCCTTGCATTGTCTTCTGAGTTTGTTAAATGGCGACAGATTTCAAAAGCCCAATTCCAATGTTACACTTAATTGTTGATTTAAATTAACCCATTTCCAAGTGCAAACTCCCTGTTTAAAAGCCATAATGAATTGTATGGAGAAAATAATGATGTCTTACAGAAACACACTCCAGACTGGGATTTTTTTTGGACACAGTTTTCAGAAAAAAAGTCATAATCAAATATGAACAGAATAGATGAACTATTTACTTCCCCAGGCTACAGTTTTCATATATGTTTAAAATGGAATGATCTTTAAATGTATTTATAGCCTGTGTGACTTTTAAAGAATGTGAAAAATACTACAACACTCTTAAAACTCTTAGGACAATATACATGCATTTACTATTTCCTTTGATATTACGTAAGAAAGCAGTTTTTGGAATGTATTAAGTTGAAGTAAATTCAAGTAAACTGGAGCAGTTCATTTTACAGTATCTTCCTGCATGTGTATACATATGTGTAACTTCATAATTTTAAAAATGTTTTCAGTCCATTTCAGTCTTTCATTTTTCATGCTATTTAATTTTTGCCAGTTGACTGAAACATGTTTACCAGATTCACCATGTTCCAGTTTCTATAAAAAATACATTTGAAATATATAAAAATAAAATTGTACATAGCAATGTTTATATTCTTGAGACACCGGTTAGCTATTTAATCTGGTGTATGCAAAGTGGTCCTTATTTGATACATATGAACATGGGTGTTCAGCAAATCCGTATTATTGGTGAAATATGTTACTTCTCATATTTTTCTCGTTCAGGCTCTCTTAAGTAATTTCTAAGAGTTTAAAAATTAATATTGGAGAAAAATTGGCAAAATGTTCATTCTTACAGCTAAGAAAAACATACAAAAAAAAACTATAGTCATCTAAGCAAATTTTACTGCTAACTGCTGTAAATTCCTTTATGAATGTATTCCTATGGGATAATCTATTTTAAGTAAATTCTGGGGCACATTTTTGTGGCAATTTGATATTTCTGCAATATTAAGAACTGTTTTCTCCCTCTAAGCAGTTAACATTACAATGGTAAACAGTTTTTAATCAAAATATGAGTTACTGTTAAATGAGAAAATTAAAATTGATATTGAATGTCCTTGCTTAGAAAAGGAAAGTTTTCTTCAAGGTGACAAAATCAACATTTTAGGCTTAGTAACTGTAGCTGTTATGCCTTAGCGGCTTTCCTCCATTTGGGAGAATAAAGCTATTCACATTTTTTGAAGAAATGTCTTTTAAAGTTTACTGTCAAGCTGTTTTTATATTTATGTGTTTGTATTCAATCCTTTTTGCCTTACTGTGGTAACTGCTAGGTACTACGCAGATTCCATGTTAACCCTCTCCCTCTAAAAACCTTCTTGATTGTTTCAAGCAAAAGAAAATGAGTGCTTTGTTGTTTGTGTTCCATAATCTTTTTTAAAAAGCAATTTTTGGACAAGGAATATTATTTCTTAACCCATATTATAAAACCAAATGAAATAATGAGAAAACCATGGCATTTACTCTTTTATCTGGGTTTGAAAATGAAATATTGTTTCAATTATTTATAATAAAATGACATGAAATGTTTTTTAGGATTCCAGTATGTGCATTGTGTAATGCCCACATGTTTGTGGCAATATAACATGTATATCCTTTGCATTTAATTAAAGGGCTAAGTTAATTAGGTATTAGAATTTTGTCGTTAAAATTTTATTGCAATAAAATGAATGTGGTTTCTATGCACATTTCTTAATAACATCACATTATTTAATTTTAATAAAATTAGAAACAAATTTGTGCAAGCTCATCTCATTTTAAATATCTTGCTGATGGCTTAACTGCAAGAGCCATGAAAACATGTAATCAGTAGGGGGAAAAAACCACATTTAGTTGAAAAAGTGTCACTCTGAAAAATGCTCAGTCTGGGAGGGAATAAGAAAGCTTTACTCCATTAGAAAGGTAGAGCCAAGCAACCACTCCAAGGCCTGAGTCCTGATGCATGATTGCTGTGTTGTACCAATTATTAAATGCCATGACCACTGACTATACATCCTGGCACCTCTCAACATTGAACAAAGATGTGTATTGAACATCTGACGATAAAGTGGTAAAAGGGGTGCTCTTTGTTCTGCATGCCTGTTAGACCATCCACAGTCTTACAGATTCATTGTCTAGGGAATTTCCTTACCTTTGTTTATAAGTCTGCTCCAATATTCAACCCTGCAATAGCTTGGCACCTGCAATGTGGAGTATCAGGAAGAACCACCACTTGTGATGCCTGCATCCTATATAGGTCTTGGTTATTAGAGTCCTAGCTCTTCAGATTTGTGATCCAGCCCCCCTGCTCATCTTTCCCAAAAACCCTTAGTTTTCTCACTACCACTATCTTGTTATTCCCAGCAATAACTCTAGTCATATGGAAGAAAGACGAGTAAATAACTGATTCAGTGATTAAGGTTCTGTACCCGAGTGTTTAGTTCAAGTTCTGGAACTACTTCCCACTAAGCATTTACCTAACCTGCGTACCAGGAAGAAGGAGATGATGGTTCTTGTCACCCAGGTGGGAGAATTGGATGAAATTGAGGTTCCTGGCTTTAGCTTGGCTCAGTAATCTGGGAGTGAACCAGTGGTGGAACAACTCTCTGTCTGCTTTTAAAGAAAAAGTCAATAAGCAAACATTTAAAAAATAATAAAAGAAAGCATTATGAAAAAAGTCCCAGAATAGACTCTTTGCCAAAAGCATTCTCTTATCTTCCCCATTATGTTACTCAATTTCTTTACAACATGATTGGGCAGCTCATCTTGTAAAGAGGTACATGCTTTGGCCTTATTCTTTGAACAGTAGGCTGAGAACTGTATCCACGTGGACATAGCAGAGATAGCTTGGGATCCTGAGCAGGGTCTCAAGAGCCCTTCAGCTACACTGTACTTTTGTTGTGACACAAAACCCAGGGAACCCTGAGGGTCAACTACAGGCAACCTGGAGTAAAGCCATGTTTACCAGCTGACCCCATGCTACACTAACAGGCTGACCCAGACAGATGAATCATCTCACCTGGGATCTGCTGGTCTTGCTCAGAAAGCAGCTGATGTGTGCAATCATGAGAAACAGTAATGGGTGGTGGCTTTAAGCCATTACGTTTGTGGAGTGTTTGTTAAGCAACAAAATAATGTGGAGGCAGAATACTATGTTCCCCACCTACTCAACCTCCAGGTCCTGCCTTGTGTAAGTTGTATTCCATCATCTCAGAGAAGACAATCTCCTAGGATTCATCCAACTATCAGTTCTTTCACCACCATTATCTCGTACTCTCTATACTCACATGCTCTTAACCTTCTAATACACTTCCCTTGAGTTTTGTCTTATGTTTTGTAAGTGACACCTGCTTTAATTTCCTATGGTACTTTGTAGAATCTTGTTATTTATTGAATTGCTCTGAAAAAACAATTTCTTCTAGTCACGTAAAATCCCACTTTCAGATTTACATCTAGCTTGTCCTTTGTGGTTTTTTAAAGATTTATTTATTTTTATTGCAAATGTGGATATACAGAGAGAAGGAGAGATAGAGAGAAAGATCTCCCGTCTGATGGTATACTCCCCAAGCAGCTGCAGTGGCCAGAGCTGAGCCAATCCAAACCCAGGAGCCTGGAGCCAGGAGTCTCCCCAAGGTCTTCCATGCAGGTGCAGGGTCCCAAGGCCTTGGGCCATCCTCTACTATCTTCACAGGCCATAAGCAGGGAGCTGGATGGGAAGTGGGGCCACCGGGATTAGAACTGGTGCCCATATAGGATCCCATGGCACACATTCAAGGCAAGGACTTTAACCACTAGGCCATCACACTGGGTCCATCCCTTGTTTTCAAATAATAAACTTAGCCCATTCTCCTCTAGTAAAATATTTTTAAAATTAAAACTCTCATCAAAATTTTAAAGATTATTTTGTTTTGCTTTGGTGAGAAGAATATGATCTTTCAGATATGTATATGATTTTCAAGTATATGATTCCCTCCCATCCATGTGGGAAACTGTGATGGGTTCCAAACTTTAGCCTGGCCTAGCCCTCGGTATTGCAAGCATTTGGGGACTGAACTGACAGAAAGAATCTCTCTCGTCTCTCTCATTCTTTCTCTTTTGTTCTGCCTTGCTAATAAATGGGGAACAAATATATGAATCTGCTTCCTAAAAATGCTATAAGGAACCATAATGATTTCACAAAAGTACTAAAACTTTGTCAGTTAAAATTAGAGAAGCAGAGAAGTTAATCTAAGTTATGTTAGAACTCCAGTTCTAGCACTGAGGAAAAGGTACTCTCTATGTATGCTGAGGATTATGTTGTGCGTAGTCATAATGAATGTAAAGAAAAATAAGAAGCTGTCTTGCAATATAAATTTAATGTGATGGGGCCAGCATTGTGGCATAGTGGATAAAGCCAATGCTTGTAACACAGACATCCGTGTAAACATTTGTTCATGTCTCACATGCTCCACTTTCAAGTCAGTTACCTCTAAAGACTTAGGAAAGGAGCAAAGATGACCCAAGTGTTTTGGCCCATTCCAATCACATGGGAGATTTGGAATAAGTTACTAGCTGCTCGCTTCACCTGATTTGGAAGAAGAATATTAGAAATGTTAGTGTTGAAATACAGATGGCAAGAGAGTCAGGAATAAAATAGAGAGGTAAGTATACACAGAAAATTTGAGTGGAGACCTGTGGTATTTGCAATGCCTTCTAGGACAGTAAAATAGACTAGGAATGTGAGAAATACAGAAACATTGGCTCCACCTCACTGAATGAATTCATTTTAATAAGGTCCTCAGTGACTCTAATGGATGTTACAATTTGAGAAGACACAGTTTATATTCTATTTTCAAGAAGGTTGAGAATCTGATGAAATACAGAGGAAACTGGAGGACCAAGGACAAGGCCATACGATGGCTTTTAGGATCAGCAATGCCTTCATGTATTTTCAGACTAAGGAACAGGAGTCATTAAAGGAGATGAGGCAAAAGAAGAAACACAAAAATATTACAGAGGAAGATAAGAAGTTAGTTTGATTCTAAGAAACATCTCTGCTAGGGGACTATAGGGAAATGTAATCCAGTAAGGATAGGAATCATTTTGAATTTATGGAAGAAATGGAAAGGAAAAGAACTTCTGAGAGCATAAGATACTCATTCAAATTGCAATTTAGGAGAAGTATTGGAGGACAAGCATTGTGGCACAATGGGTCAAGCCATTGCCTGCAATACTGACACCCCATATAGGAGTGCCATACGGGAGTGTCAAGTTCCAATCTTCAGTCTGGCCATTTCATTTATTTGGGGATGAACTAGGTGACGGAAGATATTTTTCTCTCTGTCTGCCTTTATCCATCATCCTACCTTTCAAATTCATCAAATAAATTCTTTAAAGGATGAAGGCAAGTGTGCAATATCTATGTAAAATAATGCATAAACTTATCAGGAACGGTCCTGACAACCTCTTAACAGGAGGTCATATACATGGAGCGGTGGGGGGAGGGGGGATGTGGACCCCAGAGTGGAGCAGGTGGACAGGAAGAGGCTTTTATCCCAACCCTGAAGACTCCCAGATCCACACCAAGGACTATCAGTATGAGCACCAAAGACTACACCCCAACTGCCAAGGAAACCACGGGGAATTGGAGTGCCTGTGGAGGCCGAGAAATCTGAGGTCACCCACCCCCATCTGGATCTATCACATGGAATGGAAGAAGTCCAAATCCTGCCTTGCAGGATCCAAGGTCAGTGGAACGACAACCAGGAGCCCTGAGTGGTCCGCAGAAACAGAACAGTAAACTTCCTTCAGGACTAGGGAGGGGAGCTTTCTCTGGTCCTCACCTGGTTCTGACTTTGGGTCCCCACCCACTCTGGCAATGACCATCAGGATCGCTCCAGAAACCCCTCAAAACAAGCAAACAAACAAACAAACAATCTAGAATAGATAGAGAACAAGGAAAGCTTAGAATCAGACAGGAAATGGTCAGCATGGATGCACTTTTACCTCACTAGGTGGGACATAAAGATTAGTTACTCCTCACTAGAGTATTGAAGATTTCTCTGCACACTCTCCTAAAACTGTTCACCTAAACTGTTGACACATGTCTTGTTAGAGTTATAGAGTTAGACTACCTGAAAAACAGCCAGGTTCAGCAAAATCATGTTTCAACACTATAAACTGCTAAATACTAAAATTAAAACAGACACGAGATAGCTGAATAGTAATTTATAGCCATTTTAAGGTGTATAGAACCCGGTTGTATATAAATTAATAATTGAAATGTCAATGAAGAAGTCACAGGATATGGTTCAGAACTTGCATTCTTTTCTTTTTTTTTTTTTTTTAACATGTTGGTTATTCAATACCATCTCAACTAATTCCATAACATTATAAATTGTTACTGATGTTATGTCGGGGCTTTTAATTGATTGGGATGATACTCTGTCGGCCTTACCTTCAGACCAGAGACGGTCTCCCCAAGAAACCATTGAACTTATCGGGACAATAAGATACTGGACTATATACTTGGTAAATGCTTGCAATGAAAGAATCTCAACTGAATCTGAACTGTGGCAATGCAACAAGGTGGAGGAATCCACCATGGGGGGATGATTTGGGGAAGGGTAGGGGGAATCCCAGTGCCTATAAAACTGTGTCACATAATGCAATGTAATAAATAAAAAAATGCATAAACTTAATGGAACTAATGACTTCATAGG